GGACAAAGTGGATCTCAGCAGATTCACTGAAAAGAGGTACAAATCCATTGTCAAGTACAAGACAGCTTTCTACTCCTTTTACCTTCCTGTAGCTGCTGCAATGTATATGGCAGGCATCGACGGGGAGAAGGAGCATGCCAACGCCAAAAAGATTCTGCTAGAGATGGGCGAATTCTTTCAGATTCAGGATGATTACCTTGATCTTTTTGGTGACCTGAGTGTGACAGGCAAGATTGGCACTGACATCCAGGACAACAAATGCAGCTGGCTGGTGATCCAGTGTCTGCAGCGGGCCTCCCCAGAACAGCGCCAGATCCTGCAGGACAATTATGGGCAGAAGGAGACGGAGAAGGTGGCCCGGGTGAAGGCACTGTATGAGGAACTGGAGCTGCCTGCTGTGTTCAAGCAGTATGAAGAAGAGAGTTTCAGCCACATTATGGGGCTTATCGAGCAGTATGCTGCTCCCCTGCCCCCAGCCATCTTCCTGGGACTAGCGCACAAGATCTACAAGCGGAAAAAGTGACCCTAAATACGGCGAGGGTGGGGGAGGGGAGGCTCTTAATAAATTATTATTATTGTTTTAAAAAAAATCTCCAAGTAAAATCATTAAGGTTGGCAAAACAGAGAAAATAATAATCTCAGATGCATTTGGAGTATAAATTGAAATATTATTGTTCTGAAGGACAATTTTGCAATATGTATTAAGAGCTTACAACTCTGTATTTGTCATTTTCAGGATATTGAATCTTCCTATCCATGAACAGAGAACATTTTCCATTTAGGTCTCTATTGGTTCTACCTGAATTTGTGATAGGCTATTGTAAATGGTATTACTTTCTTAGTTTCCTTATTTGTATTTTCTTTGTTATTGTAGAGGAATTCTACTGATTTTTGTATTGATCTGTCTCCTTCTGCTCTACTAAAATGATTATGTCTAATAGTTCTTTTTGTTGAGTCCTTGGAGTTTTCTGTTGTTGTATACCATTGAGTTGGAACCAACCTATAGATGACCCTCCAGAGGGTTTTCAGAGACAATTAATTGCATAGGAGGAGACTGTTCATTCTTCTTCCACAAAGCACCTGGCAGATTCAAACTGCCTGCCTTTACGATTGCAGCACAGCTTCTTGCCACTAGGTCACGAGTGCTCCCTGGAGTTTTCTGTATACATTATTATATTGTCTGCATATAGTGACAGTTTCGCCCACTCTTTGATGATCTGAGTGCTTTTTATTTCCTACCAAAAGCAATCTACATGTTTAACACAAACTCAATACAGATAAATTCATTTTTTCAAAGAGATAGAAAAGGCAACTGGCAAGTTTGTTTGGAAACGGAAGGGACCCCAGAATAACCAAATTACTTGTGAAAAGCAAAAATGAAGTGTGAGACATAATACTCCCTGACATCAAAACCTACTACACAGTTGTAATAAAACAGCAAGGTATTAATGACAGATACACAGATCCATTGAATAGAATGGAGAACCCAGAAATTAGCCCATCTACCTACAGTCAACTGGTATTTGACAAGGAAACAAAACCAATCAATAGAGAAACGACAACCTCTACAACAAATGGTGCTGGCAAAACTGGACTTCTGCCTGTAGAAAGCTAAAGTAGGAACCACATCTCATATTGTAAACAAAAAATCAACTCAAGGTCGATCAGAGACCTATGGGTAAAGCCCCAAACCACAAAGATCATAAGAAACAAATTGAGATGAAACTCTATTAGAAGGCCTAGCCTATAGTGTAAATAGGTTGGCAAATACAACCAGAAATGCACAACCAGGAGAGTATAACATTGATGAATGTCCCTGTGTGCATCAAAACCTTTTTCTAACAGTGTGAAAAGAAAAGCTACTGACTGGGGAAAAAACATTTGGCAATGCCATCTCAGACAAAGGTCCCATAATGAAAGTCTACAGAATCCTACAGGGTCTCCACAAGAAAAAGACTGATAACCCAATTACAAAATGGGCAAAAAATATGGAAAGATTTTTCACAGAGGGAGACATTCAGATGGCCAACAGACACATAAAGAGATGCTAAAAATCATTGGAAATAAGACAGATGCAAATCAAAACCACAATGAGGTATCATCTCATCTCAAGTAGCAGCGACAAAGTTTAATAGAATAGCAAGCAATAAATGTTAGATAGTATGCGGAGAGATTGGAACTCATACACTGTTTGTTGGATTGTGAAATGGTACAACCACTCTGGAAGGCAATTTGATATTTCCTAAAAAAATTGAATACAGAAATATCATATGACCCAGCTATTCCACAGTTTGAAATATAGAACTGAGCCACAAATGGAGATTTGTACACCAATGTTCATATCAGCATTATTCACAACAGCAATAAAATAGAAAATAGAAACAGCCAAAATGTCCATCAACAAATTATTGGACTGAGACATTCTGGTACATTCACATGATGGAATAGTACGCAGCACTCAGGAGCAATAATTTTGAAAAATACTACAGAATATAGGAGAGGTTGGAGAGCATTATGCTGAGTGAACTCAGTCTCATAAGGACAAATACTATATAGGACCATTATAGTAAAAAAATAGAATTACTAGTAAGATGTGTACAAAAGACCAGAGGGGGAAGGGTAGGGAGGAGCAGGGCTCAGGGTAGAGAGAGGGTTGGGAATCTTGAGATCACAGAGTTATGGGGGCAGAGTGAGAGGCTTAAGGAATTGGGAAAGATCCAGTGGAGACCTGGAAATGTAGAGTAATGGTGGGCATAGATAATTAATTTTATAAAACATAATGTATGGGAATGATACTATGAAACACAATGTGAATAGAGGAATGTGTGAAACCTAATATATATAAATAAAATAGAATGTATATGAATTTTGTTTGCAAACCAAAATAAAACCAATTTTAAAAATGTGTAACAAAATAAGCCATTATAGTAAATATATTCATTAGTATAAAATATGTTAACAGTACTATTGAGTGAAAGTAACATGTAACAAAGTACTTTGCATCTGAGGAGCTTAACTGATTTTAAAATATTAACATATATCTGCATATATAATGTACAGGAAAAACCTGAGAATTTGTAATAGAAAATATTAACAGTGGTTATTACAAGATACCAGAAAGATCTTATTATGAAATATCACAAACACACATCACAACTATCACGATGTTATAAAAAGTGAAATAACAAGTATTTGTATATTTAGAACTTAGCTCTATGAAAGGATACTATTATGCTGTATTTGTTTCAGGTTTGTTCTAATAATTTCAAATTCAAATTTTAAAAATTCTACTTTTCAGCCTATAAAGTTGTTACGTACTGTGAAGTCAGAACTGACTGATAGCTGACTCTCTAGTGGGTTTTCTGAGGCTATAAATTGCATGAGAGAGAAATATTTCAGAAGCCTTTTATATAGGTCTGTTTCTAACCCATTCCCCTCACTTCTCTCTCCAATTAACTCCCTTTTCAGTACTAAAGTTAAACATGTGCCAAATTTTAATATATAAAGCTAATTAACCAAAGGTCAACATTTTGAATCCATCAGACATTCAAGAGGAGAAAGATAGGCAGTCTCCTCCCATAGAGACTGACAGCTTCAGAAGCCTGATGGGGGTGTGGGCTATGGGGCTATGAGTCAGAAACTACTCCAAGGTAAGTGGGTTTCTAGAATGTCTTTCTACTTAAATACGTACTGGGTTATATATAAGGAGCCCTGGTGGTATAGTGGAAATGTATGGGCCCGCTATCCAAAAGACTGGCAGTTCAAATTCCCTAGCTGCTCCTGGAGAGAAACATGGGCAGTTAACTTCCTGTAAAGATTTACTGCTCAGAAACTCGATGGAGGGTCACTATGAGTTGTAACCAACACCATGGCAGTGGGTTTGGTTTTATCTTTAACTGCCATTGCTTGCAGTTAAAAGCCAACCAAACAAAATTTATATAAATATTACCAAAGAATATATAGGTCTGTAAGGTGATGTCAACAGTTTGTGCTTGATTGCTAGTGTGAAGGTTGATGGTTTGAACCCATTCAGCAGGTCTGAAGATGAAAAGGCCTAGTGATTTACCTCCTTCTGTAAAGACTGGCTACCTCCACAGAAACCCTATGGAGAAGTTCTATTCTGTAATACCATGAGTGGAGGTCAACTTGATGGCAGCTCGCAACAACAAAGCACATGTGTTTCTGTAGCTTTCTTGTTTCTATGAACATTGTGATTTTTAAAGATTCATATATACTGATGCATGTCGCTTTGGTCATTTCAGACTTCCTCTGAAAACTTGGAGGGTCAGATACGGGTTGATTCTGACTCAACTGTACATAACAACAACTTACAACCAAAAAATTCTACTTTTCAGCCTACAAAGTTGTTATGTACTGTGGAGTCAGAACTGACTGATAACTGACTCTCTAGTGGGTTTTCTGAGGCTGTAAATTGCATGAGAGAAACTGCCCAATCTTTCTCATGAGGAGAAGCTGGTGAATTTGAACCAGCTGCTTTTGGGTTGGCAACCCATCTCTTTATCATTAAGCTACGTACCACAGATTATTCATTCAACTACTGATGCACATTTAGGCTATTTCCAATTTAATGCTATAGCGAACAGTATCATTTAACTCATAGATAACTTTGCTTTAGCAGCTCCTTGTACATACCTTATGATTTCTTTATACTGTATTTTTCTATAAGACTTACAAGTCCACATTCATCACCTTATCATTTATATAGCTTTCTGAAGAGGATCATATTTCATAGAAGAAATCCTCCCTCCTTGATTCTCTATCTCCTTTAAAAAGGTTTCAGATCACTCGGCCTTTTGTTCTGCCACACAAGATTTGCAGGTTCTGTACAAAACAAAAGAGATTGGAGAAATAAAAGTTAATGCAAACAGACAAATAAATGTGCAGCCAAGCCAAAGGCATGCAGTGCAAACCAACCAGCTCTTGGACAGGAGAAAAGATGAGTAATCGCTCCCCCATGTGATTTTAAAACTTTGAAAACTTGGAGGGTCAGTTATGGGTCATTCTGACTCCAACAAAAACCTGCTGGAATTTTTTTGGAGTTGCACATGACTAATAATTTTATTTCATATCTGAACCTCTAGCAGGTTTCTTAGACTGTAAATCACACATCTTTCTTCTTAGTTCTGTTCGGAGGTTCTATTCTTGGAACCTATGGTGGATTTGGGATCATGAACTAGGCCATTAGAGCCTCCCGATTCAGTGACAGCAGCAGTAGGCTTGAACATGACATAGGTTGTGACGATGTGCAGGATATGGTAAGGTGAGATGTAGTCAACTTGATGGCACCGAACAACAGTAATAATTTTATTTTGGAGGAACTGAAATTTCTGTGGGTTTTCCTAATCATGGTAGCTGCTGCTCCTATTTATGATATGTGCTGTAGAGTCCAGTATGACGACACATAGCAACCCTCTGAACAACAGATCTGAACCCTGTCCTATCCTGTTCCATCCTCTTTATCTCTAACACACTTGGGCCCATTGCTGCAGTCATGGTAGCAAT